GTTAGGGGGAATCAAACTAGGAGCCTTGAGCATACTGAGCTGTCTCCCCAGCCCTGTTTTTTTGTTTGTTTTCTGTGATGCCAGGGATCAAACTTGCCTTATGAATTTGGACAAATGAAAAATGTGAACATCTGTCTTGTCATTTCAGTTTCAGGTTAAGGAAGATTACATTAGCATAACACAGTAGCAGTAAGTGTCACCTGACCTCATCTCCAATGACGTTTTCTTCAGGGGTGGGTTGGGGTGGGGCTGGGAGGTGTTGTGCTGCTTGCCTCAGACCACACTGTCACCTGGGGATGGAGTGAGGCTGGGGCCCCTCCTCCCAGGACGGCAGTGAGCCCACTGGCTTTTTCCAGAACTGAGCCTGGGAAGCCAACCGATGATTTCAGCAACACTGCCCCACATCTTTGCCTGACAGCCTCAGGATCATCCTGAGTAACACCCATGTTTACACCTGCGCAGGAAGCCCTCCCTTCTCCTGAAACTGAACCAGCTCAGTGAGGCTGGCTTCCGTCTTTGCAGGCGCCATATGGACAAAATGGCCTGCTTTGTAGGAGTGTTTGTGTACAGTCTTATAGTTTAACTAGTGCTTCTTCTCATATGGCTGAAAGCTTTTTTAAAAGCAAGAGTCTTGCCTGATACCAATTCTCATTATGAAAGAAAAAAGCGACATTTCTTTCCTGTTGCTCTTCACTATATGTTTTCCCCTGATGCTCTTTATTATTTTGTTAGCTTTCCAGAGATAATTTTTAACCTTCTTCTTTCTTCTTTCTCTGTGTGTTACTGGAGATTGAACTCAGCCTTCACCCTGAGCCGTATCACCTTCCCCTTTTAATTTTTTTTAGCTTTTTATTGTGAGACAGGGTCTTACCTGCCCAGGCTGGGTTTGAACTGTTACTCCTCCTGCCTCAGCCTCCAGAGTACTGGGATTACAAGTGTGTGCAACCATCCCTGGCTTTGGCTTTAACTTTTGCGTTAACTTCTGTGTGTGTGTGTGTGTGTGTGTGTGTGTGTGTGTGTATAATCCAGTGACATTCTATCACAGAGCTACACCCCTAGCCCTTTTTAATTTTTTGTTTTAGACAGTCTTGCTTAGTTACCCAGGCTAGCCTCAACTTGTGATTGGCCCTTTGTAACATGGAAGATTTCAGGTGTCTGTGCAGAGAATAGATTTCCTAGAGTGTTCCCATCTTTGATGCACCAACACTTTTATTTCATTGCCCCCCAACAATTATTTTCTGTAATATATTCAAACAGATCTTGGATTCAAATGGTTCCAAAAGAAGAAAAATACCTATAGAATAAGTCATCATTGGGGCCAGTGAGATAGCTCAGTGGTCTAAAGTGCTTGCTTAGGCAAACTTAGGCAAGCACAAGGACTGCGGTTTTGGATCCCTGCACCATATGCCACACCAGCCCCATCCCAGGGCGGGCTGAGCTGGCCACAAAAAAAAGTCATCATTGCATCTCAGAAAACAAGCAGCGATTTGCTTGTCTCTGTCAGAGCTGTCTTAGTGGTTGGGGTTTTCCCTGGCCCACACCTTTGCAGAAGTTTAGCTAGGTGTCCAGTTTTATTGAGTAGATGGTGAATAATGTGATTATTCTGTTCCCTTCTGTTGGAGTTTGTCTTCTCCTACTAACAAGCCTGGTTCCTACACACCTAGGTTGTGCTAGGAATCTTTTCCTGTTGCCACTAACATCCTGTGTCTTCTGCTGCCTTGAGGCCTCAGATCAGGTGAGCAGTGCTTGAACGACAGAAGCCCAGGAAAATCTGCCTCAGAAAGCAAGTCCACGAGCCTGAGCGAGTTCTGACGCAAGGGCCAGGTTACTGACAGGAGTTCAAGTCAGGTCCCAGTCATGTCTGTTGTTTTTGGTGAGTTCTAAGGCTTTGGCAGTGGCTTTTTTTTTTTTTAATCTGTGATACCCTGATGGCTGACGTAACTATGGAGATACCTTTCCGTGCTGCCCTGCTTTCTCAGGAGCAAGACTCTTGCTGCTTCTAGCTTGCATGGCTTCAGGGCCACTCTGGACAGCCGGGTCCTAAATGTACCTTGATGAGTTTGTTTCAGTCAGCGGATGTCTGTGCCTTTGTTTCCTGCCTCTTGCATCAGTCTGTTTGTGAGAGCACACAGAGAGGTGATTAATGGGAAGGATAAACATAAGCTCACTGACTGAAAGCTCAGCCTGTTTCCTAAAGTGCTTTCAGTGTAGTGAAGTGCTTGCTGCCCACGGACCACATGCTGTGCAGAGAGAAACCCCCTGGCCCTCTCCTTGGCGGGTTCTCTGGCAGCAGGCTTCAGTCTGCTTCTGTTGCCCCTTCCAAAAAGTGTTTGTTGAAAACTAAAGGTAGATTTGTTCTCCCTATCCATGTGTCATGCCATGCAGTTAATGTGAGTATTAACTGTTGGAAGCTTGGGGCCAGGGAGATAGCTCAGTAGAGCAAGCGCTTGCCTGGCAAGTGCAGGGTCCTGAGTTCAATCCCCGGTTCTGCAAACAAAAACAAAAACAAAAACAAAATCCCAAAAACAAACAAAAAACTGCTGGACGCTCTGCGCAGTTGAAGACTGCGAGGTGGCCTTGAGGGGTCCTTCTCACCTCTGTGCCCTTCATCCGCAGGTCTTTGACCAGATGATGCTTCACTCCTGTGCTGTGTGGCTTCTGTTCTTGTGAGTGCCACGTGCCCTTGTGTGAGACCTGGGCTGTTAAAGCACTGTCGCTGTATGCGGCGTCTTGAAAGGTTTTCCTTCATCTGAGAAGGCCGAGTGACGAGGAGGGCCAGGCAGCTGTGTTACCTCAGCCGAGCCGCTGGCGCTCCGCGTGTGGAACCCTATTAGGGTGTCTGCTGCCAGCCTGGCTCTGGAGATGGGTGCAGCGCGACTGTTGCTGTGGCCTGTGCTTGCTGGCAGTGCCGCCTCTCAGTGCATCCCCTGCTTGAGGATCGTGGATGTTTCAGCGCAGCGCTGGCACTCGAGCCCTACCTCACCACCTGCACCAGCCAAGCAGGTGCCTCCCGCAGTGTGTGCCCGCCTGGGGGAGCGGAAGGAGGGGAGGCAGCCAGTGTTAACTGCTGTGACTGTGAGACTTGCTTAGAGAAAAAAGCTTTTTCCTAATTTAAAAAACAATGCCTGCCCTTAGAAGGATAGAAAAGGTGTGTGCTGGGGGTGGTGGTGGTGGTTTATACTGCTAGTAGGAGGAGTGCATAATGCGCATTGCTGAACTCTTCTACTTTTCTTATGTTAAAGTTTCCCCCATTGTTGCATTAAGTGTCTGTATAATGTTATATTTTCTCCTGGACATAACAGCGTAAAGCTTGAAAACTATTAGCCCTTTTAGAAGCCTTAATTTTTTTTTTTTTTTACCAAACAGATCTTCCACAATTTAGCCACATTATTATTATTATTATTATTATTACATATTTTTTATGTATTTAGTACAAGGTCTACAGAGTCTCGCTACACAGATTAAACTTGTAGTGATCCGCCTGTGTTCAGCCTCCCAAGCGCTGGGATTACAGGTGCGCACCATCATGCCCAGTCTTAATCGCTGTCTCGGCACGCCCCAGGGACAGGGCCAGCACTGCACACTGAGAATCAAACCTGGCCCTGCACCTGCCTAAGCAGGTGCCATAGCCACATTAGTGAATAGTAAAAACATTTGTAATGATACTCTGAACATCTTTATATAAAAGCATTTTTTATATTTTATATTATTTTGAAACTAGATCTTATGAAACTCCATTTAATGGAGCAGAAGGAATCAACACTTGAGAGTTCCAGGTTTGCTATCAGACTACTCCCAAAGGGGTGACTCTCCCCCTTCCACCCAGTGGAAACCTGTTCTTTAAGCCACAATTTGACATTTCTGAGCAGGAATATCTAGTTCTCCTCCAGGCATCTGGCAGGGTAATGATTTGGGGTTTAGAGGTCCTTGATGTTCCAGATAGTGATCCTGTACTGTGGCTTGTGACCAGTTCTTCCTTCTGTTCGTCCCCCAAGTTACATGGAAGTTTCTCGATGGCTGCTCTTGATCTGATCTCGGTGACTATATTTGTGTCCTTGTGTGTGTTTCGGAAAGTGCACTCGCACGCGTTAGCTCCTGTAAGTTGACCTCTGCTTGTTGACTTGCGGCCAGCGTCTGGGATGTTCTCACGTGTGTCTCACGAAGCCTTTGTTCTTTTGCACAGATCCGGTCCTGCAGGTCCCAACACACGTGGAAGAGTAAGTTGGTGGTTTTTTTATTATTGTTTTTTTATTTTAAAGAGGAAAAAAAAAAGATACAGAATTTCAAAACATGATAATAGGAAATTAACAGTGGTTACATTGTTATCTTCAAAATAGTTGCTCAGATTACAGGATATAGGCATGTAAGATTGGTTGAATGATACAAGTACAAAACAAACTGTTCCCTCTAATGCACTAAAAGAAATTAGAGGGCCAGGGAGATGGCTCAGTAGAATAAGCACTTCACTGGCAAGTGCAAGGGCCTGAGTTCAATCCCCGGTTCCACCAAAAAAAATAAAAAATAAAAAATAAAAGAAATTAGTAGCATAACTATCTCAGCTACCGTGTGTGTGTGTTTTCCTTCTTTTCTCCTTCCCCGTTGGGAAGTTCCTTTTCACAGTGTCTTTTGTAGATTATGGATCTTATTTACTCTCAGTTTCTTACACTATGGAGACAATATGACGCTTATACACATGGGTCTGATTTATTTCACTTAGGAGTATGGTCTCTAGTTTTATCTGGAAGAGGAAGTTTTCTGATTTGCTCAGCACTTCTCTTTTAATTTATTGCCTGATTTATTCAGTCAGGATTTAGGAAGCCAGTCTCTGGGATGCGAGTGCGCACAAGCTTCAGGTGTAACAGGAGTGAGTGAGGGCTGAGAGTGTAGCTCTAGCCCCTGCTGATGGGAGGGGAGAGGGAGAGGGAGAGGGGAGACAGGTGCTGTGATAGGAACCCGTGGGGCCACTCCTTCTGGAAGACTGTCTGAGATATTAAAAAGGCTTAAGGAGGTGAAGCTTAAGTTGAGTTTTAAATTTAAACCTACGAAGTCTGGGTCTCCCTCTTTGCTGGGCTGTACTGCTCTGTGGAGAGGGAGGATGTTGGCCTACTCCTGGAGCGCAGGAGGTGGGTGTCTTCCGTTAGGGCCCTGGGAGATGGTGCCTCCTCTGCTGAAGGTTGTAGTTCAGTCTTCAGCAGACCACTCGGCTGCCTCCCACCTGCTTTGTGGGAAGCTGCGGAAGGAGAATCCGCTGGCCCTCTCCTCGGCGGGTTCTCTGGCAGCAGGGCTCAGTCTGCTTCTGGTGCCCCGTTCAAAAAGGAAGTGTTTGTTGAAAACTAAAGGTAAATCTGTTCGCCCTGTCCACGTGTCATGCCATGCCATTAATGTATTAACTGTTGGAAGCTGTGCGCACAGTTGAAGATGGAGAGGGGCCTTGCGGGGTCCTTCCCACCCCCATGCCCTTCATCCGCAGTGCTTTGACCAGACGATGCTTCGCTCCTGTGGTTTCTCAGCACTTCCTCTGCATGTTGCTTTTCTCCACACCATACGGGTATTTTGTGTATGTGTGGTGGCAGTGAGGGAGCAGTGGGTAGAGCTGCCTGCCTCTCTCTCTCTCTCTCTCTCTCTCTCTCTCTCTCTCTCTCTCTCTCACACACACACACACACACACACACACGCACACACACACTGCTTCCCACTACTTCTGTATTACCACTCTGCATGACTTTGATAGTTCTGTGCCTTGGCCCCCCTTTATTGTTGACACTTACTATTTAATCTCTAGGCCTGCCTTCCTCCCAGATCCCAATGATGGAAGCCTGTACACACTCGGGGGCAAGAATAACGAAGGCCTGACGGTGAGAGGTTTTATCTTCTTTGTATGCTCTGGGGTTCCTAACTCTGTCCCTCACTTTGTTGGCACATGGGGTTCACCTGGGATATTTCAACTTCTGGGAAGCCGGATGGCTTACGCCTATAATTCCAGCATTCGGGAGGCTGAGGTAGGAGGATCGCCGTGAGTTCGAGGCCCTCCCAGGCTACATAGTGAGTTCAAAGCCAGCTGTAACTGCATAGTAGGACCCTGTCTCAAAAGTAGCTTTGGGTATTCTGATTCAGGTGGTCTGGTGGGGATCCCAGGCATGAGTATCTTTTCAGAGTGTCCTAAGTGAGTTTTTAAATGCATAACCAGAACTCAGAAATGCAGACCAGGCCAGAAGCTGCTGGTGGTCCAGCCAGCACCCTGGAAGGATAGATGTCTTCAAAGTTTCCTCTCACTCTACCGCCAGCAAGGTGTTGCCTGAAACACTGTCTCTACCCGGCTCTGTCAGGTGTCCAAGGCATGTGGGATTCTACCCCAGGCTCCACTTTGGAATATAGACTTGTGGTTTTTCGCCCTTTACCACACGTTTTTGTGATGTGGG